CTCACATAAAAAAAAAAAACACCCAACAGTCCAATCATACCACCCTACATAGAAGAAATGTTGTGGGGCTCCACAAAACATATCCTATGGGACTTATAATCTGCGTCACTGGAGAACCCTATCACTATGTCTGAACTCACCGCAGCCGTCAACAGTATAGCCAAAGGAAAATGTCCAGGGCCGAACGGTTTGCCCGTAGAATTCTACACCCTCGTCTTACCTCTCATTGCCCCTGACCTCCTAAGAGTATTTAACAACATCCTCTTAAACCAGTCACTTGGCCCTCACATGGCGGAAGGTATCATCACCCTCCTCTACAAGAAAGGTGACAAAACAGATGTGGGAAACTACCGCAGATGTGGGAAACTACCGTCCCATCTCGCTGCTCAATGTACATGACAAAATACTAGTTAAAACTCTAGCCCAAAGAATAAACAAGCTTGTCCATCTTGACCTTTTTTTTTTGGGGGGGGGGGACAAAAGCTCCAATCTATTCGTGGGGAGCATCACGTGCTGAGAACCGGGCTCAGCGTCCCTTTGAAGTACAACCGAGAATATGTAACACATTTGAAGTTCCGGGGCCATTACCCGGCTTCGGCTAAGAAAACAACCAGTCGATTACCAAACCTTGTCCATCTTGACCAATCTGACCTCATTCCAGGTAGACAAGTTTTGGACAACGTAATGACTATTTCTCAATCTATTGATTGGATCAACCTATATAGACTTAACAAAGTTATGATTCTCATTGACTTTCAAAAAGCCTACTACCGTGTAAAATGGGATTTTGTATAAACGACAATGGAGAAAGTTGGGGTGGGGCCCAACTTCAGAAAGTTTCTCAAATCACACTATGGGGCTTCAACAGGAAAGGTTCTTGTTAATGGGCACCCCTCCTCCTCCTTCAAAGTTACCCGCTCATTGCGTCAGGGTTGTCCCATTGGAAGCATTGTTGGATATGGTACGCAATCACCCAGACTACGAGGGACTTCAGGTCTCCCCTACCTACTCTATCAAGGTCTCAGCTCTCGCGGAGGACTTCTCTGTTATCTTTGAAAACTCTATCTCGTCTTTGGCTGCGCTAAAAGAATGTCTAACAATATATGAGACTGCATCCGAAATGAGAGTGAGCTGGCAGAAATCAGTAGCTCTCACCCCTGATGGCCAGCCTCTGGCACTAGACATGTGTATTCCAACCATCGACAAACAAAAAACAGAAACAGAACGCTATCTAGTCATCCAGATTTCCTTCGGAGACCCATCAGAAACTCAATCGTCCATAATAGAAAATACATTCCAGAACGCTTGTGCTACGTGGTCCAAGACCCAATTTCAGTCGCTTTTTGGCAGGGCGATGGTAATTAACACATTCATCTCCTCCAAAATATGTTACATCCTGTCAATCAGAGTATTAACCACAGACTCATCTACTTATATACGTACACTACTAACCCGATTGCTCTGGAAAGGAGACTCGGAAGCTAAATCCGCACTCAGCAAAGTCAGCTAGGCAAAAATCACTAAGAAACGCAAAGCTGGGGGCCTGGGAATACTGGATCCCATGTCACAAAACCGGACCCTAATAGCCAAATGGCCAATCAGGGCACTCACAACACATCAACAGTAACCGTGAATGGTACTTTTTCAGCATCATCTAGCAAAAATGTGGCAGTTATCGGATCCGGGCGCAGTGTGGTATGCTATCCTCACACACCCCTTCACCTCAAAGGTTGCTGGCAACACCTGAACTTGTCTACTCAAAGAATGGGGGAGGATGCTTCCCCAACCTCTCCATGACCCTGGTTCCAAGCACGATATCCTCAACAGTTGCCTCTTTGAAAATCCATCCATTAAAGGCCCAACTGGACTTCCGTTCTCAGTTACCAAGGCAACAGGGAACTTTGGCCTGGGTTGGATGCAGCGTGGCCTCTGGCTCATTCGTCACATTTGGACTATGGAAGATAACAGCTGGAAATCTGTGGAACAGTTGAAACCTGCCCTGCGTCTGCTCTTACCAGCACCCCTAGCACCCTCTCGGGTTGTCTTAAAAAAAAAAAAAAAAAAAAAAAAAAAAAGTTTACACCACACTCGAGAACATCTTATGTCCATCATCCAAGCAATCCCTGTCGAATGGACAAATATCCTTTCCAAACCAGAAGTCGTCTTCAGAGAGCAGCAGTGGTTCAGATCTAAGGAGGTCCCCCACTCCTTCTACAGAGTGGATGTGGTAAAGGAGAACGGAGCAACAGAAGCATCAGAATGGGCTTTGAAGAACTCGCGTTTGGAGCAGATCAAGGAAGCAAGGCTGGTCTCACTCACAGGACAGGACTGGAAGAAATCAGAGTCACCCAAAAGAAGCCTTCTGGGGGCTCATCCTCGTTTCAGGTGGTCATGAAGGCAATCCCAATCAACGATTGGAAAATAGATCTCAGCAGATATGGTTGGCCGGCGACCAACACCAATGGTCGTGTTGACGAAATCCCCCTCTCAGACTACTCGTCTCAATTAGGCTATAACCTACAGTCAAAACCTCAGTCTCTCCAAACAGATTTCTCCCTAAGTTGGTCCCGTAAGACTTCTTCATTCAAGCTACAACCTCTCTCTTGCAAATGGCTCCCGTTCTTTATCCATCTCCTGCTCTCAACTATAGAAGTTAAGATTGGTGGTTTACAGTGGTTACACCTGCACTCTTGTGTTCCCACCGCCCTGTGGTGTTCAGAGAAAGGAATGGATGTATCTGTTCTCTGTGACACATGCCACCACCCCTGCCTAGAGGACGGGCTACACCTCTGGTGGGAATGTGTCATCGCTAGAGGGTTCTGGGACTTCCTCAATAAGCTCTGGCTGGAGGCATACCATGTAATTGACTTTCGGAACCAGGACCTAGTCCTCACGGGTAGAGTGCAGCCCTGTTTCCATAAGCAACAGGCAGGGAAGTTCAGTATTTTATTCAGGGCAAGTCTTCTGGCAAATATGGATAGGCAGAAGGGACAGGAGATTCCTTGCTACAGTAGACTCCCTCACTTCTCTTGCCCAATTCAAACATAATATGCGAGTAGATATTACAGCAGACTCGCATGGACTTCACATGGGCCTCCCCCTTTCTCTGGGCAGACCTAGTTGATGACAACAGGCTTGTTTACTCAGAACTCGTATGGGATCATCTGCCCATCAGGCCTTGAAACACCATTGCAAAGAACATGAGCGAGAGCGATAGATAAAAAAAACAAGTTGTAATATCACGCAGAAGTCCAGATAGTCATGTACCAAGCAGAGAGCATACCGGCACCAAAATTCCATCCACAAAGGAGCGATACAATGAACTCTTGAGCCAATGTCCTAGCCCTCCGGCCACACCAACACAGTATCCAATGTCGCTCCTACTGTATGGCGCCCAGCGCCCGGCCTACTCTACTCAGCCTATCTATCCTATCTACATTCGTGCAACAGGATCACTTCGCCGTTGAAGACCAATGTACATGACGTCAACACCAATGTTGACCTCCCACATACACCAGGTACGTTCTCTCTTCTCCCCTTTCCTTGTCCACCACTCATGCGCCTCCTTCCCTGAAGACCACCGTCGCCCATCACCTGCCCGCGCCTCTTCAGCCCGGCTATGGCCGCTAAGTGCCCCGCTGCCCTGCAGCGCCCTTCACCTCATAGCGCCCCAGCCAGCAAGCGCTAATGCAGACACCTGTTCAGCAACGCAGCAGCGTGACCGCATTGCCTGCCTAGGCCTGAATGCCCTCCTCTGGCCAGCCTCCTCCCTATATGGGAGTAGCTGCCCTGCTGGGCTGCTTGGGCCTGGCCGAGGAAGTTTCCACTAGCTTCCAGTCGGGCCCCAGTGTCTGCGCCCAGGCCCATTCCTACAGTTAAGCGCCTGGGCCCTCTTCAGTTGGGCACTTTCAGGATGCCTCCAGGCTCCAAGTGTTTGCCGTGTTTGCATTGGCCCGCGGGGCAGGAGTGATGATAATGCTGCATTCTCATTGGCCATGCTGTGTCGGCCTCACACTGCGTGTGCCCAGGGCGCAACGACCTGCGGCCTGGGCTCAACTGCTTGAGGCAGCTGCTGCTTCTGGAAGGAGCCCAGGGAGAGGCTCAGGTTGCACTTCAACCAACTGGCGCGCTGCAACTGTCTTGGAAAATGCTGAGACGAGGGCCTCTCGTGGCCCGCCTTCACTTAGAGAGGGCACGAGGATTGCTGGGGCCTCAGTCCCGAACATGTGCACGTTGCCTAGGGCCCCATGAGGACACATTCCTCACACCATCTAATCCGACAGCCAAAAAAAAAAACAAAACAAAACCTGAATTGTCGTATCTGTTCTCATCCGTTTAGTATATATATATCGTCACAAACAGAACTGCCCGGTAAACCGTAGGCAGAGAGAGAGAAGAGGACAACAAACGAGGGGCTGTGACAAACTGTTTCGTCGGAGTTTCACCGACTCATATATCGTCACAAACAGAACTGCCCGGTAAACCGTAGGCAGAGAGAGAAAAGAGGACAACAAACGAGGGGCTGTGACAATATATATATTTATATATATATATATATATATATTTGTTTGTGACGATATATATGTTTGTGACGATATATATATATCGTCACAAAGATATCAGAGCGCAAAAGCGAAAAAAACAAGAAAAGCAAAACAAAACCTGAATTGTCGTATCTGTTCTCATCCGTTTAGTATCGGATATCTATATATACATGTATATATTACCGGGCAGCTCTGTTTGACGATATATATATCGTCACAAAGATATCAGAGCGCAAAAGCGAAAAAAACAAGAAAAAATCAACTCGTGTTTTATCTTCTTTTTATTTTTTTGTCCTTCGGGACATCCGTAAAAATTGGAACGATACAGAGAAGATTAGCATGGCCCCTGCGCAAGGATGACACGCATAAATCGAGAAATGGTCGTCCTTTTTCTTTTTCTTTTTTTGCTTCTTCTTCTTACTTTCAACTTCCCCTTGCGTACAAGGCCGCCCACATGGATGTAGGTTGAGCGGCGTCACAAAGCGATGATTGTGTCAAACGAGGCTCCCACGTCATAACGGAAGGGATACTAAGATGCCACGTCAGATCCGCTGGAGGGGGTTTGACGATGTGGTCGGGATCCCGCTGCAACACCCTCCTCCTCAACCCTTCCATCTCCCATGATGGCCTTGATTCTCTCCACGACGGATCCCATCGTGGGTCTCAAAGTGGCGTCCTGTAGGGTGCAGTCGCACCCCAGCTTGAAGATGCCGCACAGCGACACTCGCTCCCAGTCGCTACATCCATTCTCTGCGAAGCAACGTCGTAGCTGACGATCGACGACCTCGTTCCAGGTGTCTGTGTCCAAGAACGGCGCGCTTTGGACTCTCTCGCCGCACCACTCGGCAAGAACGACGGGTTCATCATCGTCAACAGCAGACCCAACGTACCTCCCCTCCTCCCCCTCCTCCTCCTCATTCTCCACCTCCTCCTCCCCTTCGTCCACGTCCTCCTCCCCCTCCTCCTCCTCCTCCTCCTCCTCCTCTGCCTCATGCACGTCAGCGTTTCCCCCATCATACCTGCTCGGCTTGCTTGACCAGAACAGCGCCTTCTTTCCTGTGACTATCTCTAACAAGATCACACCGAACGCGTACACGTCGTTCTTTGCGGTCAGCTTCAATCCGATCGCATACTCTGGTGCCATGTACCCGATGGTACCAGCTCGATAATTGGTTTTCACGGTCTCTCTGCCCCTCTCCCCTCTCAAGCTCGGATTGCCGAGCCGTGCGAGGCCAAAGTCCGCAAGATAAGCCCGCACGTGCTCTCCCGTCCCTTCAACAAGCACATTGCTGCTCTTTACGTCCCGGTGCAGAAGCGGCGGGTCCAGCTCTTCATGCAGGTATCGCAACGCAATCCCTATCTGCTGTGCCACGTGGACCCTCGATCTCCAATTAAGCACTAGATGATCTGGACGTGGAGGCGGAGGAGGAGCAGGAGACGGAGGGAGAGGGAGAACAGGAGGACAACGATTAGGTGCAGCAGTTCCAGCTGCAATCGCGGATGACGTGACCCCTGCGTGGAGCTGCTTAGCTCCCCCACGTCGTCGACGGTGCAGGCGATCGAACAGACTACCCCCAGAGATGAAGGGGTAAACGAGGATGACACTCCCCCTCTCTACGCAGTATCCCGACAGCTTGCACAGATGGGCATGCCGGGCACAGCTGAGGGTCTTGACTTCGGCAAGGAACTGCTTGCGCTTCACCTGATTGAGGTCCCCTCTCATCACTTTGATGGCGACGAGGACCTTCTCCGAGCTCCCGGCTATGGCGGGCAGAGACGCACGGTAGACATCTCCGAACCCTCCTCTCGCTCCCACAACCCGGAAGCGTCTGTGGAATCCGTCCGTGGCCTTCTCCAGGACAGAGAACGGGATCGGACGAGGGGTGTCTAGACCGCCCAGGTCGCGGGTCATGGCGGAGACCTCCCCCCGCAGTTGTAGCCGTTGCCTGTGGTCGCGATCCCGACCCCGGACCTTGGCTCTACCCCCTCCATCCCCGCCGACATCGGAGGCCGCGGAAGATGACGAACAGAATCTCGACAGAACGGAAGTGATAGAAGACGTGGCGGCGGCTGACGTGGATAAAAGCGAGGTATCTTGCGTCGACGTCGGGATCGCTTTGTCGATCTGACGAGCCGCGCTGGGGTCCCGGCCCCACGTGTCGTCGCCCCGACGCCAGCAAAGCATCTTCTTTCGCTTCGCCACCCAGATGAGCAAGACAAGGCAAACCACCACCGCGATCGCGACGGCTACCGATCCCGATACGACCGCTGCTAGCGAGACCCCATACCTCGTGGCATGCGCCAATGATCCTCCCCCCGTACAGTTGTACAGAGCAGAGCGGTTTACTCTGAATGCGAATATCTCTCCATTACCAGTGCCCATATACAGCCGGCTATCATCGGAAGATAGCATTAATCTCGCGCCTTGATTGATCCCCGATCCGAACGGGTAGTCCTTGCGTGGGAAAGCCGTCAAATTTACGTTAACCGTCGATGTATTCTGCAGAACGACGGCATTAACACTTAGGACTTGGCCATGGGGTTCGCGAAAGGTCATCCAGTGGATAACAGTCGGGATCCCATCCGGCACGCCCGTTCCTGTGAAGAACAGGTTGCAATTGTCTTTAGTGATCGCTGTAGTCGACGGCTTGTAGCGTATTGCCCACAAACCAGAGGCGTCGAAAGAGGAGGAAGAAGAAGATGATGAAGGGGGGGGAGGAGGAGGAGGGGGAGGAGGAGAATCTGTGTGAAATAACGTGTACGTTGCCCCAGTTAAAGTGTCCACGCGGACGATCCGAGAATTATCTTGATCGGCTACATACAGATAAGAGCCGTCAGATGAAACACATCGACCGTGGAGGCGGGGTGAGCTGAATCGAGCTTGAGAACCCGTGCTTCCGTCTTGCTTGCCTTTCTTGTCGCCGCCGGCAAGCAGATTGGCAAAGCTTTCGAGAACTGCTCCCTCGGCCATTGGGACTTTCAAGATGCGTCTGTTGTCCACAGCGACGAAGAGGACGGGTTGGGTGGGGTGCCGCACAAAGCCGTACGTTGGCCCTCCGCCAATTGCGATGAAATCTCTCCTGTTCCCGTAGTCCCTCACATCTACTTCGTAAATAAGATTAGTGATCGCCGTCGCTAAAAGCGTCTCCGAGCCGTTCCTATCTAGAGAAGCAAAAGCTGTCCAGTGAGTGTTATCCGCTGTTCGCTGCGTTACATTCGACACTATGTAAGAAGCAGAGGAGGAGGAGGAGAAGGAGGAGGAGGAGGAGGAGGAGGGGGAGGGGGAGGAGGAGGAGGAGGGCGAGAAGACATCTAACACGGCTTGTCGAATGACGCTGGAAATGTTGACCCCTTCCTCCTCAGCAAAGTAAACAGTGGAGTCGTCGGAGGAGAGGGAAAGTGCACGGATGTAGCATCGAGGACACGGTGAACTTTCCAACAAGTTTCCCTCGAGAGTCAAGAGCGTTGGTTCGATTACCGTCGGGTTTGGCACTGGGATTGGAGCAGAGTCTAAACCGAGCTTCCTGGCGTTCGGCACATCCATCCTCCTCTCTTCCTTGGCATTCGACTTGGCGTAACGGTTGAAAAGCCGATCTTCAAAACGCTCCTCCTCCTCCTCCACCTCCACCTCCACCTCCTTCTCCTCCTCCTCCTCCTCCTTTTTGGTTCCTAACCAGGCGTGATAACTCCTCCTCTTCAAGTCGTTGCTCGGGCGTGGTTGGGACTGGGCCACAATTGCATAGTGATTGGACCTCCCTGAGGTTGTCACGTGGCTGCAGGAGGACCAATACAGAACTTCAAGGCACCGTGATGAGGAATGTAGACTGCCCCCAAGTCCAAGTACAAGAACCAATAATAAGAATATCACGATGATACCTCCACCGTGAATCTGTAGGATCGGTTGTTTGGCTGACGAACTTGAAGAGGACAAGAAGGAGGAGGAGGAGGAGGAGGAGGAGGAGGAAGCAGAGGATGGAGCCAGAATTGAACTGTCCATTCGGCAGTTTGCCCTCACTGTGCTTCCCCAGGGTATGCACACAAAACCCGACATCTTGATCTATCTATGGGTGGACCTGATTACTAACCAGTGGACTCATTGATCACCAAAAATATTAATCAATGAGCCGATCTCTTTCTTCCATCGATTGGCAATGACTCGAATAATCAATCCAGCACAGTATGAATCTCCCTTTTCCAAATTCATGGGAATAGGTAAGGACGTGCAAACGTTTTGACGGCCAACGGGCAGGATGGCAAGCAGGGGAAGTAGAACCAGACGGTGACATCCAATCGCATTCAGACAAAATCCTTCAAGGATAGAAGAATATTCAGTTGAAATCTATCGAGACATATCAACCACCAGCATTGATCCGTTCCTTCATTTATCTCGAACACCTACCATCTGCTCTCTCTCTCTCTCTCTCTCTCTCTCTCTCTCTCTCTCTCTCTCTCTCTCTCTCTCTCTC